GGGGGGGTGGGGGGTCCATAGGTTGAAATATAGGTCAATCTTCAATATTCTTTTCTCTCTGCAGAAATAAAGGGATTTATGTATAAATACCAAATTCGATCAAGAACCATCCTTGAATTGAGAGGACTCAGTTCCCTGTAAATGGAGGGTTTGGTCTCCCTCAGGGCAAAGGCGCATATCCCAATAAGATAAATCTTTATATTGTTTTCGTTCCACACAGAAGAAGTGATCTAAACCAAATTTAATCTTAATATTTTGACATTGATTATGCAGGGGATCGAGCGATACAGGCCCTCTGGGCCTTTTGTATTTAAATATCTCCATCGGTATATCGCCATGATAATATACGTATATAAATTAATTTCTCAAGTCCCGATGATCGCCAGATCATTTGATAAGGTAAACATATGTCTAAGAACGAATTATCCAAAGTGAAGTCGGTACTGTATCGATTTCATCTATACTGTAAACAGTTTGTAAATCTTGATTTTATTTTTGAAAGGAACGAGACCAAAAGAAAAGAGGTCTGGATGCAAAAACTTACATTATGAATATCAATAATCTATTATGTAAAATTATAAAGCAATAAATGTCCCGGGTAAGTATAAGAGATATACGTACATACGTATATGGGTGGCGGTTCGGGCCAAAAACGACCCCCTCCCCTGTTGCCCAGTGTGCCTCTGACTACTTCTATTATCATGATCACGACACCTTCTCGAGCACTCACTTACCTCCTTGCCCAGTCTGACTTTACATAATGCCTCTTCAACAACTATATACAGTCCGCAAATTTCGCTCATTACGTGACCGTTCCCGACATGTTATGTATTGCATTACTCTTACTTTTGTTATATGTTTTTAAGTCTTATTTACATAATATTAGTACATCACTCAGAGAGTCGTTCCGTAGCAGCTCATGTTACCACTTCGCATCCTTTTTAGCAGAATTACCTTTTATATCAATACATTATGCAGTGATCAGCTGGTGTTTGTCGGGTGACATTGAGTTAAATTCACAGCCCTCTTATACCATCCAATCAATTGTTTCTACATCCTCTTCAAGTATCCAGTTCTGTAACGATAGGTATTCTTTCGTCCATCTTAGCGTCAAAAGTTTCAAATAAAAACCTAATATTCATTACATAAGTGCTAAATTCATCTCCTCTTCATGTCCGCTACTGATAAATTATCTATATCTCTACGTCGTGCTTTGGAGTTGCATTTGTTGTTATCTGGAGATATAGAACTGAATCCTGGTCCCATGTGTTCTAGCTCGTCTTCCTCATCTATATTTTCGAATATTAGTGGCCAGCTCGATGCAGTCAGTAATTTTTCATTTGTCCATCTTAATGTTAAAAGTCTCAAACAAAAACTCGATATTCTTTACTATACACCGAGTAAAGTCATATAACAATTTTATCCTTTACTGAGACATGGTTAAATTTAAATGATATCTCATCTGACCTTAACCTGCCTGGATATTCTGACCCATTCTGCTACTATAGACCTGATCGAATGGGCGGTGGTATATCGGTTTATGTAAAATATAATATTCCTGCAAAGAGAAGATCAGATATAGAGATAGCTACCATTGAATGTGTCCGGTTAGAAATTGTACTTTGTTCAGAGAAAATATTATCAGGGGCGGGTCCAGGTGAGGGCGTAATGGGCGTACGCCCCGCCCCC